TTGAAGTAAAGGCATTCAGTTTTCAACCAAGAAAGGTGTTAGGAGAGTTAGGGTGATCTCTTGGACAAATCACCCACGCGATTGCCACAATAGGGCCTGTACGCAAGGGCAAGGGCAAGGGAAGACAGGAGTCTCTCCCGATGGACCAACCCGTGACGAGATCCTACGCGCGGGACCATAACATTCTGGTACCAGAGCCTATCGTCATGGGGGAACAAGAGCCACTGTCTTCCAAGGTCTACGAACTGGAACACAAACTTGCAGAGACCAGTATGGAGGTACGTGAGGTCAAGGATGATGTCCAGGAGCTTCGACCCTTGCTGGAGACATTCTTAGCCAATAGGGAAAGAAACTCAGAAGGAACCGCCACCAACAACAGTCGCAGGCCGAACTGGGCAGAAACATCTAGCGAACATCAGATGGCCACCCCGACTGCCGCTGTTATCCCCAAATACAGTCGGCTAGAATTTCCGTCCTACAACGGCACTAGAGACCCACTGGGATGGTTGCACCGCTGCAAACAGTTCTTCCGCAACCAGCGCACCGATGACAAAGACAAGGTCAGTCTGGCCGCTTTCCACCTCACAGAAGAGGCACAACTCTAGTTCTACCGTCTAGAGCAGGAGGGCTTAGTTGGGAACAATTTAAATCCTATTGCCTCCTCCGGTTTGGACCCCCGCTGACAAGTAACCCGCTAGGCGAACTGATCAACCTCAAGCAGATCGGGACTGTGGCGGATTATGAGCGCCAGTTCCAAACTCTTTTTGCCAGAGCAGCCTCGGTACGCCCAGACCAGCAAGTCGACATGTTCACAACAGGGCTAGTGGAACCCCTAAGGGTGGACGTCGAGATGTAGCACCCCCTAATCTAGTCACAGCTATGAACCTCGCACGTGCCTTCGAAAGGAAGATGCAGATCTCCCACGGGGGCTTCAGTATAGGACGGCCAACATCAACATGGATGCCTTCGAAGACAGCAGGAGTGACTCCCTCTTCGATCACCAGCAAAGAACCAAGGCTGCGCCTACGGGCAACCCCTCCAGATCAGCGTCAAGCATAGGAAGCAGCAAGTCTGCACCCCCCATTAGGCGGCTGACCCGAGCCGAGATGGCGGAACGGCGCACAAGGGGGCAGTGCTTTAACTGCGATGACCTGTACTCCGCCGTCCACAAGTGTAAGAAGTTGTTTTGTCTTATACTAGAAGAACCCGAAAAGGAAGAGGACGAACTTGCAACATCAGAACCAGAAATCTCCCTCCATGCCATTACGGGGGTCAAGACCTCCCAAACCATGCAACTGAGAGCATTGATAGCAGAGCGGCCAGTCCGTATTCTGGTAGACTCGGGTAGCACCCACAATTTCATCAGCGAACAGGCAGCCCGCAAGTTAGAACTGCCCATAGAAAGAAGACCACAATTACAGGTGGTCGTGGCAAACGGGGAAACAGTTCATAGCCCTGAAATTTGCAAAGACACCAGAATTCAGGTCGAAATAGAGTCTTTCCAAGCAGATTTATTCGTACTATCCTTGGATGAATTTGACATCGTCCTAGGGGTTAAATGGCTGATCACGCTTGGACCAATTCTATGGGACTTCGCCGCCCTAACCATGACCTTCCACTTGGATGGAAAACCAGTCACATGGCGGGGAACCAGAATAAGGACAAGGGCACAGCTACATACACTCCAAGGTGGGGACTCATGCGCAACAGATATGGAAAGGCTCCTTACGGACTTCTTTGCAGTATTCAAGGAGCCCAAGGGGCTTCCCCCTCCCAGAGCTTGCGACCACCAAATCCCTCTGATAACCGGATCAGATCCCGTTGTTGTCAGGCCCTACCGCTACCCACATCGGCAGAAAGATGAAATAGAAAGGCAGTGCGCAAACATGTTAAAGCAAGGGATCATCCGCCCTATCCGCTCCCCCTTCTCCTCCCCAATTCTCTTGGTGCCCAAGCAAGACTGGACTTGGAGATTCTGTGTGGATTACAGAGAGCTTAATAGCCGAACGGTCAAGGATAAGTTTCCCATCCCAGTCGTAGATGAGCTGTTAGACGAACTCCATGGAGCGCAGTACTTCTCCAAGCTAGACCTCCGATCAGGATACTTCCAGGTTCGAATGACCCCTAAAGATGTAGAGAAAACGGCCTTCAGAACACACCATGGCCACTTCGAGTTCCTGGTCATGCCCTTCGGTCTTAGCAACGCGCCATCCACATTCCAGGCCCTGATGAACGAGGTGTTTCACTCCCATCTTCGCAGATTTGTCTTGGTATTTTTCGATGACATCCTAATCTATAGAAAATCTTGGGTAGAGCACATGCAGCATCTGCGAATTGTTCTTGTACTCCTACAACAACATCAGCTCTTCCTCAAACGGTCAAAATGCTCCTTTGGGGAATGTAGGGTCCTTTACTTAGGACATGTGATCAGCGGTCAAGGGGTCATTGTGGATGACTCCAAGATTCAGACAATCAAAGAATGACCCAGACCGCAATCTGCCAAGGCCCTCCGTGGTTTCCTAGGGCTGACCGGCTACTACCACAAGTTCGTTCACAATTACAGACTACTGGCAGCCCCCACTAACAAGTCTGCTCCAGAAAAACGCCTTCCTCTGGGATGGTACAGCTGAAGCAGCCTTTGTAAAATTAAGAGAAGCCCTCTCCTCCACACCAGTTCTACAGTTGCCAAACTTTGATCTTGAGTTCACAGTGGAGTGTGACGCCTCCGGCACCGGCATAGGCGTGATACTACAGCAACAAGGGCACCCAATCGCCTTTTTCAGCTGCAAGCTGGCCGACCGCCACCTTAAGTTGCCTGCCTACGAACGAGAACTTATTGGCGTAGCTAAGGCAATGCAGCACTGGAGGCTGTACCTGTGGGGTAGATCTTTCATAGTCAAGACGGACCATTACAGTCTCAAGTATCT